AAGGGTTGCTCAAGTTGTTGGCGGAGGCAATTGTTCTCTGTCTCGAGCATGTCATTCTAGCTGAGTAATCGGAGGCGGGCCTCATGGCTGGTCTCATAAGAAGCATCGGGAGCAAGTGCATCGTCCATTGGGAGAGTAGGACAATCGAGTGCAAGTTTCTCAAGTTCCTCTCGAGGTGGCTCAGGATCTTGCACACTCATGTAGCACTTGCATTGCCTCAAGGGCTTAACGTCCTCTTCCTTTCCCATTTCTTCATCTGACCCCTAGTAATCGAGGAGGAACTGATCATAGTCGAAGTCATCGAGATCGACAATGGGTTGCTCGCCGTCTGGGTTGATATCAAACCATTCTTTCCGGCTTCAGTCATCTCCTCGTCGCCGTGGGTGATCATCTCGATGAACTGGGTAGCGAGATCACAAAGGCATCCCGAAGAATCCATATCGTAGGTGTGGTTCTCCTCGGAACGAGGCTCGGTGGGTTCTGCTAAGGCTTGTTGAAGCTAGCTTGAGTATGTCGCCACCGTGTCCCTGAGTCCGGTCGGGAAATCGGGAAGAATGTGGTCAGGTAGCGGTGATAGATCCGATCTAGGGACCTAATTTGGATTCTCCGAGATTCAGAGTATGGTGTCAAGGTTATGTCCTCAACGGATTTTGGTGAAGACGTCACGGTCGTAATGGTTGACGTGTTGGGCGAGAGCACGTGGCCCCGCACCTATAGCTTAATATTAGTCAGTGATGAAGTCTAGGTCTCGGAAGGTGATCCTCTCGCCTGGCTGCATCTTCTCCGTATCGTCACCGAAGTTGAATATGATTCAAATCTGAAACATAATATTAGTCTGTATGCAAAAGGCTACCTGGTGCGTCAACTGTCGGATGATTTAGCTCCGGCAATGCCTAGCAACTACTTCGTGTAAAAAGAATCAGATGGTAGCACACGATACACAAGATTTATACTGGTTTGGGACGCTACGTAGAGTAGTGCCCTAGTCCAGTCGGGAGTGCTGCTCTTCTTGTATTCATATGCTCAGTTACAGGGGCTATTGCTCCTAGTTACGTAGTATATGAGATGAAAGGGAATGTGATGGATCCCAATCGTGAGGCCCCTACCCTCCTTTATATGGTCTGAGAGGGTAGGGTTACAATGAGGGCGATCGACTTAATAGATTGGATTCCTAATTTGTTACATGGAATGCATAATAGATCAGTTCTATCCTACCATCTAGATAGACAGTGCCGGATATCCTCGATTCGCCTTGACCTCCCAGCTGATAGATTCGTCTTGCCTACGTGGGCTTCATCCTTCAATGTCCTCCATCCGCTAGACTAGTCATGGGCCAGACATTTGGTCGACGAGGGTGTCCTAGGTCCATTATCTGTCAGCCGCCAAAAATAATTTCTATGGCGGTTTTCATAGAAACCCTCAAGGATATTATGCTTTGTGGTAGTGTAGTTGTATACTGAAGTGAACTAATAAACTTATATAATGATTACTTAGCTAGCCCGTCGTGGTTAGACAGAGGACAAGAGGAGTATCTTCGTATGATTAATCGCGGCGATGCCGCCTCACTTTTGGACTTGGCCATTCGTTGAGCTGTCGCGTGTAATCAAGCACATCGTTTGATTGGTCGATACAGTAAGTTGTATTCCGAAAAAAAAAATAGTATTGCACATCTAAGACCGAAAGAAGCAAACAAAGGTCAGACTGAACTTACTCAATTATTGATCGAGGGGTTAGTTCTAGCTAGTGCGAAAAAAGTCATGCCTGCATGTAGTGAGAAAAGGCTATCAGCATTCAGCAATGCATGGAGCGATGATGGCAATATGGCATCGATGGACGTCACGTGTGTATGAGTGTATATGTTTTTTAGAAAAAGAGAATATATTAATATCCCAGCTTCTGAATCAACTAATGCATATCAGCACACGTACGTATAATTAAGCGAGCGATGAGCACACACGTCGTCGGCATGTATGCAAAGATCGAGTTGGGCAGCCGTCTAACCGGTCGTGAGCTGCGACAAATGAACGGCCTTTATTTGTACATTTGACAATACCAACCAGTTGAACGTACATTAGAGTTGAAATATTGCATTTTTGTACGTGCACAAGAATCAAGAACGCTAAGCCACGTGTGGTCATCAGTCTGAACCCATCTTGATCTTGTGGAAATTTTAGTACTGTTCAGACTTCGTAACGTACCTCCGTGTTCAAAGTAGATATACAACTGTTGGTTGCTCTATAGTCTCTACGACCTCTCCATTGGAAAAAAAATGTCAATAAAGCGTCTTGTTTTGCCCGTGGATTTTTTGCAGTTCCTTGTTGGGCGAGACGACCTTCTGTTGTCTGCAACGCGGCAGAAATTTCCAAAAGTTACATCTCCTTGTGCCTACCCTTTATCTCTAGCTGTCTAGTTAGCATTAATTATCGAGCATCCTTATAATCATAGAGACTGAAAGTAGTTTGCATCATCAAAGTTCATGCACGCAATTAGCTAGCTAGCACAATCTATCAGGGGTTTCACGTCACTGTTTGCTATGCCATCGGTCCCAGAGAAAACTTAATGTTCTAGGATTTTCAGGACTGGGCTAAACAAAAATTACCCATATACTTCTATTTGTTGAAAGTGAACGATGCAAAGGAATAAATTCATAATTAAAAGAAATACATGGAGTCAAGAAGATCAGTCTCTCAAACTGATATGGTCAAATCTATTGTCCATCAGCTAAAACATCATGTTTGTTTTTGCACATTTTTGAATCTTAGAACATCAATTTTTTTGGGGGCGGAGGGAGCACATGCGTGTGTACGTTGGGAAGTAGTGAGAAAGCGACTTATGAGGCCAGGGCGCAAAGGAGATCTGTCTTTAAAGAAACATATTCTCTGATTAAAGAGCACCACATCAAAGAGCTTAATTTACACAAATTAGTTCACACATAATAGCATCAACTATCTGTAAGCTTTATTTAGCTTGTCTGTTGGATAAACTCTACACTGTTCAGGTGAATTACCTACTGAGATTGATAGATGTTGCATACGCTTCCTTCCATTTGAGCTCATAAAGGCTTCTTCACATCCTTTGATCCGCACTCCAGAATCGGCATGTGCAACTTGAATAAATCCATGCCTTCGCTTATTTTGAAGCACACACATGCAAACCTACCAATGCAGAATTAGATGGATAGAGGGTTCATTTTCATCAAGTATATATCAATTCTGATAATCATGAGTCGAGCAATCTAAATCCAACATTTAATCTTCAAATTCTGATCATCATCATTCTTTGGAAACTATCTTAATCACTAGGTTGTGAGTGCCCTTATAGTCCTACTATTACCAATGGTAGCCGTGGCCATTATTGCTGGACACATGTCCCTCACCTCCCCTTCATGCTCACACTCAACATCAACTTCCCTGGACACATGCGCTTTGTTCCCGCTACTCCACTTCATCAAGTGTTCCCGAGCATAGTAAGATCGTCTGCAGGTATAGGTCACATCTAATGTAGGCGGTCCATAGGTGAGGATGAATCTGTGGTCATTCAGTGCTAAAAAATATATTAGCCACTTTCAAAATTATATATCTGTTTTCACATGCCTGAAAAAAGAGAGGAAATGGTCGATATATGAGTATTTGGTAAGTGCATTTGAAGCACCTCATATCTTATCTGTGTTGAAGATGTCGTACTGATTGAGCATTTACAGACCATATGCATGTGTACTTTGTGCATGACTTCTTATATTTCGAGGTAAAAGTGCTTTAGCAGGATTGCGTAGCTTAATAAAATAAATATGATGTGTTGTAGTGACATTTAAGCTGAAACTTTGGTTGTATATGAATGATTGCTTCCATTGTTTTCACATCAATACAGTAGTAGCTGGGGGTACAATAATATCTCATCGTACTTGGTCAATTATTTTAATGTGTTGAATTCAGTATTGGGTTATTTATGTAATATGAGAAAATATGTATGCAGTGGTAAAAGTAATGTAATGTAAAAACTATTTGGCTAATACATGTTTGTTGATGAGAGAATGTTACTGTATGTGTTTGGATGTAAATTGGTAACCTTAAGGGTACCCACTAGCCACTGCTCCTCTCTAGTTCAACAAACACTACGCCAGAAAAGTCTGTCATAAAAAAATATGTGTTTTCGGGATTCAATCTCAAGACTCCATGTTGACGTTCTCTCGAGCGTCATACTTGCTGAGCTACGCGTAACTATACAACTCATGCTATTCTTTCAACTACATAATTTTAAATATTATATTGTATATTTGGTACTCTAGACGATCTTAAATGAAAAGGCTGTTAACTACAAAATTGTAGATCTCATCGAGTACTTAAATTTTGATATTGACTTTGTCTCTATTCAACATTGTTAACCATCTCAAATATAATCCGAGAACTCATATTAGATATTTGGACAGGTAAACCATCTTAATTTAAAAATTGTCAACTACAAAGTTTTAGTTTAAACTCTATAATTTTGATATAAAGTTTATCTTGATGTGACCTCATATGAAAAAGTTATGAATTTTTTTATACAAAAGTTATCACTTTCGGTTCATGGCCTTAACTGCAGGTGATAGTACGTTGTCTATCGTTGCCGGTTTAACGCCCAAACCCTAGCGAAAACGTCTTTATCTTGGGAGCAAAGGCTCAAAGCACTTATCTAGAGGCGTATATATTCGGAGCTGAAGAATTTAACAGATAACCTCGGAATGAAAAACACTCATGCATGAGAATTGGTGCTCGACTTTTAGAAGTGGCATTATCAGTTTATATATTATCATACACTGAATATAGTACTAGATTAGTACTCAATAAAACAACAAAACCAATCCTGCAATCCAGTAGACGACCTCACACACAACACTGATTCGCTGAAACACATTCTTATTCATGCATGGCTAACAGCCACCCCCGGCCGCCCGGGGAATGCATGCGCGAGCATCCATGCGTCTGCATGCACGCACGCACAAACGCCCCACCTGCAGCCTATTATTCGTCCTGTTCGCTGGCCTGCATTCCGCGGTGCACCCTCTCGATGTACTCAGAGGCCCTCCGGTTGATGTCGCGGTCGGCGTACCAGTTCTGGCCGTAGTAGTCGTCGTCATCGCTCGGCCGCACCCTTGTCCCGTGGTAGTACCGCTGCGGCGGCGGCGTTGCTTCCTCCTGCCTCCCGCCGGAGCCCTGCTTCTTCTTGCACCCGAACAGGGACGCAAAAAAGGAGCTCTTACCTCTCCCCATCGACGCCGTACGACCAACACTATATATACCTCTCAACAAGGTATGCAACACAAATTGGATGGTCGGTTCGTCCAAGGCTCACTCTGTCTTATCTCTCGCAAGCTGCAACAGGATTTGGCTGCTGGTTAGCGTTATAGGGATCAGGTCTCGTGTATTTATAGGAGATTAGGAGACTGAACCCCTCCCCCGGCCCACCCCCTGCACGCGTGCGGCAAGACTTGTTTAGAGCTTCATTAGTCTACTGACCCTTAGGGATTGGTAGTACGGAAGGAGATATGCTTTGGGGTTAGGCAGCAGCTTTGTATGATTAATCGCGGTGATCCCTGGGCTAGCAGCTAGCTCTTTTTGACTGGCCATTCATTGGGCGGGCCGTGTAATCCGGCGCCATTTGTTTAATAACCAGAAATTACTGACAAGCAAAGCTTGGCTAATCCGCTAGTGTATATCAAATTCAAGACTTGTAGGAGGCAATCAAAACTCAAAAGGTGACTGAACCCGGCGATCGATGTTTCTAGTGCATGCTGCTGGTGTGCCGAGCTAAGGCCACGGATCCAAGACTTGTATACTAGCACTAACTTATACGCAGATGTGCGTTTAGCAGCGCACGTAACCGTGTTTTTGAGCAAACACGTTGGCATGCAAAGGTCGAGTTGGGCAGCGGAGTTGGGCAGCGCTACCGGCCGTGAGCAGTGACGAACGAACACAGAAGGCCTTTCAGCTAGGAGTTGATGATAGGAGGGGAACGTACACTGGATCGGAGTTGAAATATTGCACATGCAGCAGGCTGCTGTGTACGTTAGTAGTGCACTCGATTTGAACAACTTAAACAACAGCAGTGCCAAGATAAAAAAAGAGGATGCACGGCGGACCAAGTATACCATCTGTTCAGACTCCGAATCTTGGTCCATCACTACGATTGGCAAGAGAGAGTCAAGACGCATCCAGATTGCCCGTGGATTCTGGAGTAGTTGGGCGAGCGAGAGGACCTCCGGCCGGTTGGCCGCAGCGCGGCAGAAACTTCCAAAAGTTACACCACCTAAGCTACTTGCTATACTAGCAGCAGTGATAACCATCATATTTTTATCGTGAAGACTAGGGTTCTTAGCATCACAAAGTAACTGAGACGACGCGCATATATGCAGGCTGTAATGTAATGTACACGATCAATCTGGAGGGCGTCAAGTCGCGGTTTGGCACGGGTGCAACTTTCACAAGAGCAGACAGAAAGCGACCTTTGCTTATTATGAGGGGCGCAAAAGGATATCTGTCTGTCCATTCATCAGTTTAGGGGAACAGATTCTCTGTTTACTTTATTCCCGCTGGTTCCTTCTTTCAGAGCACAACACATTAATTAACACGCTTCAAGTCTTGAACATTAGTCTAGTCTAGTAACTTATTTATCGTTAGTTCCTTGCGTCTTGGGCTAAGCTTGGACAAGTTAGGCACGTCGAACCACGGTAATGCAAGGATTGGTATTTGGGATAACATTTAGTATCAGGGGATGTTCATATATTTTCTTTATGGATGGAAAGGATTAGGGGGACGAAGTTCTTTGGTTCTACAGAGCTGGTGGTAAAGAAGTCGTAAAGGTCTAAGACTTTGCATTGTATTGACAAGAAAGTAATAATTGTAGACAACGTCCAAGTGGCAATGGGAATAAATCTCTGAGAGAATTCAAGAAGAAGATCGATATCCATTCCACAAGACAAAGTGGCCTTTCAAATAAAACTCCTCTGCATGCAGTTTACAGGCTAAGGTACATCTAATCTTAGAATCCTTGAGCTAATTTGTGATCCTAATATTGACGTGTGAACTGTGAGTGTGTCTTTTGAGAGAAAATAAATGGTAATATATGCATACAACCTAAACAAAGCATATAAGCTTTCGATTCTTGGCTTTAGTTCAGGCCGGAATTGGGCCCGGGACTAATAGGTGATTTAGTCACGGTTTGAGTCACCCACCGGGACTAGAATTCCCTGCCCAACAGCTAGTACAGCATGCTTTTCCAGGAGAGACATTTAGTCCCGGTCTGTGGCTCTAACCGGGACTAAAGGTCGACTTTTAATCCCGGTTTGAACCACCAACCGGGACCAAAGGTCCCGATGGCCTTTTATTCCGGGTGGTGGCTCCAACCGGGACTAAATGTTGACCCTTTAGTCCCGGTAGGCTCCACCAACCGAGACTAAATGTCCCCACTATATATACGGTCCCGAGACATCAGTTCAATTATTGGTCTTTGCTTGTGCGTGTGTGTTCATCCATGTTTTTGCTTGGGGGAGCAAGCAGTTCTTGCTCTCGGCCGCCGGCTTCGTTCATCTTCAATTTTTTAAAGGTTAGCAACATCATCTTCTAATCTGTCATTGCTAATAATGTAGACCATTTCATAGTTTAGTAATAAACACTAAAATATGTGGTTTTTTATATTAGGAATAATAATGGTGGATTTTATTTTTATTTATACATCATTTCTACATAATTAACCTTAAACATTTATATTTTTCTAGATCTTTGTTAGCAACATAGTTCTTGATGAGAGTTAATAATCGTTAAAAAAATATGTGCCAACAAGTAGGGTGCAAAATGTTTAAGTTTACATGGCATATATATATATTTATTTATTTTATATGTTTCTCTAATATATATTGTTGCATGGTATATTTATATGGGGGTTCTATATTTATTGAGATGTTTTTTTAGTTTTTTTAGTTATGATGAATGGTGGCAAACTTCCCCCGCTATAGGAACCAGGTTTCCACCATGACTATCTTCCATTCGCGCCATCGCCAGATAGGGTCGTTCCGCGTTACCTAGATCCATCAATAGTACGGAATAATTTAAGTTTTGCGTGCTAATATAATTTTTGCATATATACATTCATGCATAATATGATTGTTGCATATGTCACAGACTATAAAACCGGTCAAGTGGCTGTAATCAGCATTATGGCTGCTCAGGGTTTGGGACATCTTCGAGACGACGACAAATGAGGTCGTCCATGACGAAGGTTGTGAGTTATGGACGTGTAATCTCGCCTTCAATGTCCCATTAGATATAATGATGATATGTGCCAAGACATCGTGCAGAATGGACGACAGATGCTGACCAAGACAGGCGCCCAGATCGATGTCGTGCTGCTTTGTTTATAGGCAATTGAGCGAATTGGCTACCATATGCTTGATTTCTCGTCCCTGAAGATAGAATCTTTACATGAGCATAATTTGGACGTGCCACGAATAAGCAAAATGCATACGACATTCAACTGAATGGATGTGGTACGTCGTGTATGATATCAGAGTAATGTTTATTTATTTTTATTATTATATGAGCATTTCCTGATATTTTTTGTTTGTCCGCTTGTAGAAGATTTCACCTATGCTGCAAGTGGCATGTAGCCCAATCTCACGCAAGCTATTGAGTGACTGGGGTTTGCCTGGGACTATGTGGAAGACCTAGGCCAGAGGACGACAGCTGGTATCCAGTATTGCATGAGATTTAGACAGAACTGGGCCATGAATACTCTAACAGTAGGCTACATCTATGGTGTACCATGTCTTCGGCGTTGTGAGGCAAGAGAGTGTGTTTTAGTACAGGCCTTGCAATACATAGACAATGACCGTGGTTACTGTATCTGAGATATACACTACTGGCAGTGGAGACAGGCTAGAGCTACGGCCGGTTTGTAGGGTTCAGGTGTTAATTAGGTTTATTCCTATTGTTATGTTTTATTAGGTTTATTCCAACGGTTATGCATGTTTAATTAGGTTTATTTGTATGGATATTTTAATTATGTTTGTATGCAAGTTAATTTTGTTATATTAGTTTTATTTGTATGGATATTTTAATTACAGTTGTATGTATTGAAATTTAACTCATGTAGGATTGAAATGCATATGCAAATAAAAAAAATCAGAGAAATAAAAACACAAAGAATTTTTGTTGGAATAATAAACACAAACAAAAAAAATGACCTTTAGTCTTGGTTTGTACTACCAACCAGGATTCTACTACCAACCCGGATTCTAGTACAAACCCAGATTAAATGGTACCTTTAATCCCGGTTTTTGGTAAAAACCAGGACTAAAAGTCCCCCACCTACCACGCCGACCACTGGCTCCCAACTACCACTACGCGCGATCACCACTCATCCCACCTACCACCGCTACTCCGGCTTATAAAACATCGGCCATCGCGGGCGCCATTCATCTCCCACGACGACAATCCATTCGTTGTTGTTTGCCCAATTTTGTATCCACATATATGGCCACTCTATGGGATAAAAACCTTCACATACAAATTTTATTACGCGTAGTCAGCAATGATGCACACAAGATACACTAGAAGAATGTTTTTGAAGATGGAGCAATGCTGAAATCTAGAGAAGCTAGGTGTGACGTCCATGCAACGTAATTGTTGCATGGGCTATCTGGTACGTTGATGGATCCATCCTCTGCGGTTTGCTCTGGACTGTCTAAGGATTGTATGTCCATGCAATGCATGAATGGGCTATCCATAGGTTGATGGATCCATTCAAGGCATGAATGTACTGTCTTCCAAGAGACATGGATTCATCAAAGCTCGCACAACTGCCCCCTTTGTCTCAAATAGGCGTAGTTCACCATCCACCTCTAGCATCCTCTGGCACCTATTTGACCCTACTTTGGTGCTAGAAAAATGTTTTTTAGGTAGTTATTTTATAATGTGTTGGTACACTTTGATTGTAACATTGATCTACTTGGAGAATTGTCTTTATTATCGTATAGGTAATTTTATTGTTAGTTCTTTGTTATCGTATATGTAATTTTTATGTACCCTAAATATTTATTCTAAGGTTCTCTAAGATCTTTAATTATTATTGTTTTCGATGTCGCATGCGTCTCATATTCAAAATTTTCAACCGACCTTGGATGAAGAAATGACCAAAATGAAAGTTGTAGATCTCGAAAAGTTATACAACATTGTAGTTGATAACTTTTTCATTTGAAATTATTTTGTTAAGGAAA